CACGCCATTCGTTGGCTTTCGATGCCTCAGTCAAGAAACTGGAACAATTCTGCCACGAAGTTATTCCGAGTGTTCGGCTATGATCCGTGAAGGGTTCACCTCCTTAGGTGTCCGAATTTTTCGTCACCATCATTTCCAGAGTGCTCAATAATGTACTTCTCGATTTTAGTGCAAATTAACCGGTTCTAGGACGTTAACTATCTCTTAAAATTGAAGGTCACTGAAAGAGTAATGCTTATCGTGAAACGGGTTTTGAGAACAGGAATTTCAGGTATGCTGAAAGCTGTGGATTTTGCTCGTAATGCTGGTTGTGACTCATTTGTGGCTGTCGGAGGCGGATCTGTAATCGATACAGCAAAGGTGAAGTTTTGGCAATCAATCAATCAATCAATCAATTAGACCAAGAAAGAGAAGAAATTAGGAGAACTTTTTATAAGTGATCGAATACTTTGTGAGTATAAAAGCTCGGTTGACCTCTCGGTCTTCATTGGTTTCTCTTAAAGAACACCGCGTTTTCGACTTTGGTCTGAAGTCATGTAGTGCCAAAGTGGGGCAGTGACGGGTGGTCGTTACAGCTTATTCTAGTGGAATCTCAAACTCCGGATTCCGCAAGCTAACCAACTTATTAACTGCTGGATCCACTTAACACGTCGACGGTGTTGCACGTTTTGGCTTTTTGAGCCACGAGGGACACCCGCGATTCAGCGAGCGCCGCCGCCGTGGCACACATGTGTACCACATCATCCTACAAGGCGCCCTTCTTCGGCTGAAGGCTAAAACTGACCTGAAGTAGTTAGGTGCTTTTTATAACACGACCATATGGGAAAGTATAGTAGACGACAAAAATCAGCACGTGAAAGTACTATCTAGGGCTAATGAATAGAATATTTTCAATTAGTGCTCGTATTAAGATTTTTGCCCTGCGGTCAGCCACGAAAAGCTACAAAAAGGTCCGCTAGAACAATGGTCTCCTTCAGAAGGAAGAACATCAGGAACACTTAGAAAAAAACATATGATGTGTTTGTTACAGGCCGCAGCATTGTACTGCTCGAATCCAGAGTCCGACTTCTTCGACTTCGTCTGTCTACCATTTGGCAAAAATATGGTGCCACAGAATCCAATGCTTCCGCTGATTGCTGTTCCCACCACGGCTGGCACTGGCAGCGAAACGACAGGTTCAATTGAATACCGTATTGATCCATTTCAAGACTTCACTAGCCATGAGCTTTTCCAAAGTGTTCAGTTTCCGCATGCTTGTGCCGGTAAGGCGGTTCCTCCTGTGGACACATCTAAGTTCTTTCAAAAAACTTTATTGGGCTGACCTCGGTGACCTTGAAAATATTTTTTTGGGGGGGGGTAAGAGGGAGGGTGAGCGGGGAGAACCACGTTTCGATATTGGGTTCCGAGTGATCACAAAACGGAGCTGTTCCTGCCCTGCCCCTTGGGTGTGCGCCTTTGTTGTTGGTTGCCCATCGCAAGCAATAACCATGGAACGGATTCCACTGTGTCCCAGGGCCCCCTTGTATACGTGGCTTGTTGGGCGATCTAGAACTAGGCCTGAACTGAGCCCTGCCACCCACAGTGGACGTGTTTGGTCTTTCGTAACTAATTTTCTTTATACGTGTACCAAAAATTTGGATTATCTACTTAAGTCAACAGGGTGCTGCAATTATGGACCTTCCGAAGCATCAGTGTAAATCTGGCATACGACAACGTTGTATCAAACCCCTGCTGGCCATTGTGGATCCTGAAAATATCAAGAGGCAAGTTTTAAAATGCCATGCCTTTATTCTGGCGCTTCCTCGATGGAAATGTTACAGTATGCCTCGAAATGTGGCCATCTACTCTGGCTTCGATGTGCTCTGTCATGCGCTCGAGAGCTAACTAGACTCGCGTGGCCTTACAGCAAAAGGTCATTTTTCTAGTCCCTTTATCTCCCCTTGCTTCTGCTTTGTACCAGGTATTTTCAACGTTGCTAGTCCTTTATCTCTTTGCTTCTGCCTTTGAAGGTAGTTCAACAACTAATGTTTCCTAAGAATACCGGGTTATGAACAAAACTTCCGCCCCAGGCGGGACTTGAACTCACACCAGCCCGCTGACCGGGCAAGTGCGCTACAAGTTATGCTACAAGCTGAGGGGACCAAGATGAAGGGTCGAACGTGCCCCCAATCCAATGATATGAGACAAGTATCATGGTATGTGGTTTCAGACGCTGATCTCGAATCTTCTTCCCAAATCTGCCAAACGATTCGCTGAACGGAGTCACGGAGGTTTTTTGTTCCCTCACACAGTTTAACACAGTGAGAAATGAGGCCTCAGCAGCAGCGGCTTGTGAAGGAAGCAGTGAGCCCTCTCCCTTATCGAGTGCTGGTGGCCTAGTGGTTAAGGTGGGTGGCTCTTGGGATTTCGTGTGTCAGTGGTTCGGATCCGCACCTCGTTTTCCATTTTGCATTTTTGTGACTGACTGTTTGGCAGTAGTGAAACATGATTCCTTCATCATTGGTCAGCCCTACTTGCTTTTGAATGAGTCTGAGGTCGATAACTTCGAAATTTTTCCTAACTTGCATGCCACTACATAAGGTTAAGGCGCGCCAGTATACGGAGCGCGCGCTTCAGCCGTTTTTGAGTGAACGAATGTGAGATCTGTGTTCAAGCAGTCCAATAACTCCTGGGGCCGATTTCTAGAAAAATTCGAGATTTTGAATTAATTCAAAAAAAGTGGGCGAGTCACTCATCGATGCTACATATCCATAGCCGGTAGTTCCAGGGTTGACCTATTATTGGACGACGGCGACCCTTTAAATTTGAAAATAATAAAATGTGAGGGTTGAAATCATGCTAACAGGAAAACCAGACACTGCTTTACACTCTTCAGAAACCAAAAAAACGTATATCGTTTCAAGGCTATGTAGGCTTCGATAATAGGCTGATGGATGAATGGATAGATACCCACCCAGCCTATTTCGAAATTTGGTCGAAATCTCAAATTTGGCTACAAACTTGTCTCTAGGGGTATTTCAATCTCCAGAACACGAATATCACACCTGTTTGCTGCAAAAACGTCTGCCAAGAGTTCTGTGGGCTCCATATGCAGTCTGTAGTGAGTACCGCAAGAAAACTGATTAGAAACTCTTCGCAAAGTCTTTGCACGGGTTACTACAGGCAAGCACTGATCGAATAAGGTAGCTGGGAGCCTTTTCATCATTTTGCAGCGAAGGCAAAAAAGAGACCCGCCAGGGAATCGATCCTAAGACGTCTCGCACGTGAACCCGGACTACTACCGCGAGGCTTGAGAAACAAAAACCCGCACTACTTTCCTTCATAACTCCATTCGGAAAATCGTTTGGCAGATTTGGAAAGCAGATTCGACATCAGCGTCCAAAAACGCATCCAACGGTGTAGGTCTCTTTACATATGGCCACTTCGACCAATCATCCATTCCTGGTAAGAGACCACATAGCATACTAAACGTAATAACTTCGTA